TTGTACCTTTGATCTAGTTTCCCACACTGGTGACACTTGCAAAATTTTAAGATATGGGGCTAGAGACTCAGTGGTAAATAAAGGGGGAAGGAAAAAAGCAAACATAGCCAGGCATGGTGCTACAAGGCTTTAATGTCAGCACTCAGGAGGCAGAGGCAGGCAGATCTTGGAATTAGAAGCCAGCTGGTCTATATCATGAGACCAGGGTGGGGGCGGGGGAGGAGGGATGAGGGGATTGGGCTGGAGAGATGGCTCAGCACTTAAGAGCACTTGCTGCTCTTGCAGAGGACCCAAGTTCAGTTCCCAGCACCCACATGGTGGCTCACAACCATCTGTGACTAGTTCTAGAAGATCCAAAGCTCTTTTCTGACTACTGTGGGCATTAGGCATGCATATGGTATACATATGTACATGAGGCAAAATATTCATACACATTATATATAAAAAAGAATTCTATGTCAGTCTGGGCTATACAAGACTTTGTCTCAAAAAAGAAAGAGGAAAAAACAAGGAGCAGGAATTTTAAAGTTATCCTTAATAAATTCAGAGCCAGCTGGATGACAGGAGAACCTGTCTCAAAGTATCAACACTCGGTTTTGACACTGATAACCATCAGTGGTTTTTACCTCAGTGTTTCTTTGTTAGAATCCCAAGATTATTTTGAAGGAGAACATAAAATTGTCAGAGCATGCTAATATGGTAGGTCATTGTGTTTGTTGTATATCTACATCTACAAAAATACCAGGCTTAATACTAGGTAAAACTTCACTTTTGCAGGGAAAAGAAACTTAGTCTGTCTTTGTGTATGCCTGATTCTTTTCCAGAATTTACTCTTTGTTGTACAATGTTGATTCAGAATGTGCACTCCTTTTGCTACCTGGGAGGCAAAGGCAAGGATTTTGTGAACTTAAAACACAGCAAGGCCCTGTCCCTTTAAAAAATTAAATTAAAATTTAAAAAACAAAACAAAAACGATACCACCTGGGTGACTCTTCACACTTGATTTAAGCCAAAAGGCCGAAAAGTGATGCACCTGGGTGACTCTTACATTACAAAGTTCGGCTGCCAGCATGAGGTATATACTTGTATATGAACATATGGAGGCATAGCTTTAATACCTTATTAATCAAGCATTGTTTTTAAATCCTATCTTTCATAAACTTGTTTTTAATGACTGTTTTCAGGACAAGAATTATACAAAAATCCATCCTAATTCAAAATATCTTAAAGACCCGTTGTTGCCTCCTTTCTTGGTTTATACAATGTGGTCACCTTTAATCAAGATGGCGATGAAGTAATATGGCAGCCACTCTCTCCAGTGTTAACAAAGATTGCTGCCAGTCACATGGCCAGTTCCATACAGATTTTACAGATTTTTAACCATACCAGATATACTTACAAATCTTGAAGTGCAGAAATTTCACATAATAGTCTTAATAATCTTGGGATAAGGTTTATATATTAGCAAATGTTTTAAGCAGTTAAATGAAACCAATAGTCTATTTTTTTTAGCTGTTTCAATTTGCTCTCTTATTCCTTCCATGAAGTCAGGTGGCTTGCCTGACACAGGGCAGATTTTAGAAGAAACTTTTAAATAAGCATGCTTGGGTCTAGAAAAGGGAGAGCCATAAACCAATTTCAGAGCCAGCTTTCCAGCAAAACAAAACAGCATAAAACAACTTTAATATTATCCATATTCAAAAGACATTTGAGTCCCTGCTAAGCTGAATCCAGAGACCAGAAAGCTTGGAGATAAATCTGAGCCCTGGCTATCAAAGCAACCACAGTAAGCATCCTAAGTGCAGGTGGCTGGTGGCTGGCATTGGTAGAGATAGCAAAAACAAAACCAGTAAATACAGAACCCAGAAAGCTCACGTACTCAAAGAACAGTCAGAAACAAAATATGCAGTGGCCACCATCATTTGTATATTCAACTGAGCCTGACCTAATTCCATCTAGGGTTCCATGTTGCAACAAAACTTACAGACACACTGGAAAACAGACCTATCCACACACACAGACACAAAGCAGACAGACAAATCTTTATGACATTTAACTGGGCCTGACTGATTTTAGTCTCAGCTCTTAGTATCCAAACAACCAGAACCAGGTGGGTGTGCGATGTTTCACACTCCCTGGGATGGGAGAGTATTGTGTCCCATTGAACCCCTCCACACCCCACATCATGATCCCAGCAGACCAGATGTCAAGGAATATTGCTACAACTTAGAAGGAGAGGCTTCCGTAGATGCTTGCTGCTTTTTTCAGCCCGGCAGTTCATTCTGACAGTCCACAAAACTGAAGGCATACCTCAGAGTCTTGAATTGTCTCAAGGTGCTCATCTCCTGAGGCAGCCCTTAAGGTGTGCACCTCCAGAAGCGGTCCTTCAGCCCCAGAGTCCTGGCAAGATGGTCCAGTTTTAGAATTTGGGTGGGTGGTTTGATCTCTCTGGGGCCTCCAGAAATGTTAATCCAACTGGGCATGAATAAGATCACTACAGGTGAGAATAAGACCACTGCCACAAGTTTTGAGCCAAATTTGAAGCAAGCTTTATCGAATAAAGTCCAGGACAACTGACACTAGTCAGGTCCATATCTGGGATTCCTAATTCATGGCACCAAAATCCCACAAGGTTATGTACTTTCTGCCTTCGTCCAACCAGGGGTAAGCATACACCTGATGTACTTCCTGTCTGTGTACCTCCCACCTATATGTGATCTAGTATATCCTGTGCAGCTGAGGCAACCAAACTTGTTTACAGAAGCAAAAACACATGGCTTGTTATCTTACATGAGCAACAGCCCCCAACATTCTAGTTATCTGTCCTTGGGCAAGAGGTCTTACAGGTTAGAGGCCGATTTTTGTTTGTTTGTTTTTTGCTTTGTTTTGTTTTTTAGATCTCTCATGTTATGCCCAAGTCTCAAAGATCCCCAAAGACCAACAGGGAGACAGGCCCACTGAACTGTGTGCCAATTACTCTCATTGGTGGTTGCTAAGAGGGAACGTTCTGTGGTTTCTATGACTTTGTCTTGTTACTTGCAGGTGTCTTGTTGTACACAGATACCAATAGTTTTCAGAACTGAATATCCTGGAGACTACAGGGGAGGTTTTTGGTCTCTCCTGGAATTTCTTTGTGTTCAGTTTTGGCTTTAGGCTCCAGGAGGCTAGAGGAAGGCTTTCGTCTGGAATTTCTTTGTGACATGTGCTGAGTCAGAAGAGGCCTACATGTCTTTTCTGTAGCCTGTCATGGCTGCTTAAACACAGTAATTTAAACTTAAAACATAATTTTAGTTAGTACAGGGTCCCTCTGCAGTGTCCTCTAGGCCTGTTAATATCAAACTAGATACCGAACAACCAGAGCCCTTTATCTGTCCCTCTTCCCAGTGTGGCTAAATGGAATCAATCTACTTTTGTAAACATTCCAGTAAGAATGAAGATATTCTAAAGAGACACTTATGCCCCTCTGTTTGGTTATGACTGTTGAAACAATGGGACCCAAGAAATTAAATTTTTGTCAGGAATCTCATGCTTAGAGAAAGAAAAAGCTGAAGTTTGCTGTCAGCCAGAGGCGAGCCTGTCTCCTAAAAAGACATTTCACACAGTTCTGACTTTTCATAGTCCTGACAACTTGCTGGAAAGACTATGGCCTAGACAATGATGACAGGAGGGACCACATTTTAACCAGCACTGTTTAGTTATGCACAATTTTTTGTTTTTTGTTTTTGTTTTTTTTCATTTCTTGATTTTTCAATACAGGGTTTCTCTATAGCTTTGGAGGCTGTCCTGGAACTAGCTCTTGTAGACCAGGCTGACCTCAAACTCACAGAGATCTGTCTGCCTCTGCCTCCCAAGTGCTGAGATTACAGGCATGCACCACCACCACCTGGCTGAGTTATGCCCTCAATTTAAACCTAAACCTCATGTGAGGACCTCAGAACTTGAGAAGGTATATGAAATATCAAATATGAGTCTTTACTACCAAATACTATAAAACTTGTGTTTAGGGCAAGGACTTAGAATCTTTTTATCTCTCTCACTTTTAAGACTTTTGTGTAAATGTTTTAATCCCCCCACTCAGTAGAACTTCTGCTTACACAAAGGCCCAGTGTTCTGGTCTATGAATTTGATGGAACAGTGGCCCCTTTCCCCTAGGAGCAGTAACCTCTCTCCCTTTCCTCCTTTATTTCCCTCGCACCAAATATTTTCAGACTAGCCAATTGAATAAGATTGTGAGGTCAGACCCCAGCCAATGGGGAAAACACAGCCAGCACCTGAATTACAATAAAAGCCAAAGGTACTTCCTGCCTCTCTCTTGCAAAGCACACTCTTTTGATCAATATTTCGTGACTCTTGTGAAATTCTGAACATTCCTGATGCTTGACGCTATCACATCTAATGCTTTGCACAGGTTATGAATTAGCCAATTGGGCCAGATTGTGAGGTCCAGGCCCCACCAAAGAGATGAGACATAGTCACCACCATGCTAGAATAAATACTAAGTGAACTTTCTGCCCCAGTGTGCTTGCTTTTTATTACTTTGGACAGCCGCACACCCTCCTGCACAGGAATAAATTGTCTTGCCAAGTCACTGTTGCTTTATTCACAGGTTTGTACAACACAGGAAGTATTCTTTTCTGGCACTTGTGGACTTGAAAATATCTTGAGTTTTAAAAGTCCACCTGGCAGAGTCAGTCATGGTAGGTCATACGTGTAATCCCCACACTTGGGAGGCCGCTTTAATAAACTCAGGTATGAGCCAAGCATGGTGCTGCATGCTTGCTGTCTCAGCACTTGGGAGACAGAGGCTGGAGGATCAGGAGCACAAGGCCAACCCTGGCTGCATAATGAGTTTGAGGTCAGTTTGGGCAACAAAAGGGCATGTCTCAATCTAAAACAAAATAAAATTCAGCTGATAGACACATGATTCTTGTGAAGTGATAATCTTCACATTTTGGATTGAATTATTCCATTTATCATCTACAATTGCCATGAGCATCCGGTGCCTTTCCATAATGTCAGAATTTATTGAATAATAACAAATCCACAAAGTACAAAGGTCTTGTTGGCAGCAATTTGCCTGGTAGTGCCTCTTTCTTTGATAATGAACAAAGCAAACACATAGTTGTTTTTTTTATTACAACCTTAATTACTAATATTAACCCTCAGATATCTTACACGTCACACAGTAAATATCTCTGTATGGCTCCCTATATGTGCACGGGTAGGTTATCAAATATCCATGAAGTGTTAAAGAGGCTGTGGCAGAATTCAAGTCCTTTCAAGTTCTAGAAGCTGAAAAGCTGATGCAAAAAGAATTCTCAGCTGGATGTCAGGTCCGCCATTGTGCAGCCACAGGGTTCAGCTGCAGAAGCAAGGTAAAGTGAAGTCTGCAGAGGTAGGGGACAGGACTGATCCAGGCAAACAAACAAACGATGGCCGGATAGCAGGTCCAGAGGGGCCAACAGGCGGCTAGATGGAGGGTAATTTGATAGGCCGTGCCAACAGTGGAGACTGAGCCAAACTGAAGCCCCTGGGATGGTCAAGAATTCTCTGCTTGTCAGTCTCCTTACACACACACCAGGTGTCAGATGGGGGCTATCAGCACCCCAGTGCTAGGTGTCCCATCCTCTGTGAGATACAAGTGAAGCAGTTGTCCCTTCCTCCAGTCTGCTATGTCAGATTGTTTTTTTTTGGCCTGGTTTTCCTGAGGTGATTTTAGTACGTCCATGAGCTCCTTCAGCCCCAGTTTACTTGGGAGGTACCTATTCTACTTTTAGGAACATGTCAATAGTTTGTACCTTGTGAGTAGTGACAGACAAATGATGTTGTTACATATTCATCATGGTGCAGATTCATCCTCCATTCTCAAAATGGAAGAGAAACCTCCTCATAAAATGCAGTCTCTCAGGGCAAGGCCCAGTCTGAAGACTCATCATTTTACATAGTATGGGGTACTTTAGGGCAGCATGATCTAAACAACGTTCTAGAACCACTGAAGCCCTTAAGGGTCTCCTAAGTAAACAAGCCTAGTGTATGTGATAATAAACACAATAGCAAATACCAGTTAAAGCTCATTTAATACTTTACACACATTATCTCATTTGAAGTCTTGCTTTTAAAAGGAACCATACCCAGTTAGGACACGGTTAGCTGCAAAAACAAAACAAACAACAACAAAAAGATGCAATTGTGGCACTGGAGAGAAGGCCCACTGACTAAGAGCACTTGATATTCTTGTAGAAGGCCTGGGTTCAGTTCCCAGTGTCCACAACTATCTGCAACTCCAGTTCCAGTGGTCTCGATTCTCTTAGGGCTTTTCTATAGGTTTCTACAAGCCGCTAGAGCCACTCTTAATTTACGTCTTCAGGAGTCACAGTGTGGGCTGCTATTAGGCACAATGGCCTCTGGGGGGCAGCAGCATGGAGCATTTGCCTTTGGAGAGCGACAGGCGGCAGGTATTGTGTCTAGCCTTGAAATCAGTGTTTAATGAAATATTTGGGGGAATAATACTAGCATAAAGTTCTCAGCTGTACCTTCTAGATTTGCAAGAAATTATAATAGTCCTTTCAAAGATGCTGCTCCAGACCCAGCATGGTGATGCATGTGTTTGTAATCCTAGAATTTGAGAGGTGGAGGCAGATCTGAGAAATGTGACCCTGTCTCAAAGCCCCAAATACAAAAATACAAACAACAACAAAATAACAAAGCAGCCATATAACAAATGAGCTTCCCTTGCTCAAAACCAGTGAGATAGTGTTATGTGACAAAACTTTTCCTGAGGAGACAAAACGCTTGTCCACTCACCCCAGACAGGGAGACTATGAGAGATCAAAGTACAGGTACTACCAAAGTCCAACTTGGTGAATTAATAAGTTTTCCTGGAGTCACTTATGGGTGAGGGGTTACTTACGGGAGTAGAAATGACTCAAAGACAGGTGTATCACCAAAGTCCACCCCAGCATGGGTGACAGCTCACAAAAGCTGGGGATGTGGAGCACACTGCAGGCAGCTCAGTGTGTTGGAGGGCATCCTTTTCACTCTCAGTTGGTATTAAACCTCTTCTAGGCAGCTCAGCTGGTCTGCTTGTGGAGTCTTCTTTTCAACTTGGCTAATCTGGTGGTTTTCTTTGCAGCTCTGCTAGTCTGAGAGGAACTCTCAGCTTTGATTGCTTACTCAATAAAGAGGGCAGGATAGCGAATCTGGTCAGTTTCAAGGACTTCCTGAAGCCATTTGAGTTGTTTATCTTTCTGTTTAGGCGCTTCCCTTCTGGATGGAATGTTTCAGTCCCGAAGGAAACTGTTACACAACAGATGGCTCAGTGGGTAAAGTGCCTATTGATGACCTGAGCTCAATCCCTACAATCCATATGGTAGGAGAGACCCAACTCCTAACCTCCACATGTGCACCACGGCACCTGCACAGGCTTGTACACAGACACACACACAGACACACACACATACACACACACACGTAAATAATTAAGGTAATAAGTTTACATGTCAGAGGGGTCACACTTAGTAGAAGCCCCAGCTTTGGGAAGTCTGTTCATTGAAAATCAATGAGATTAAAATCTGACTCTCCCTGGTACCCTGAGCCTATCTGCTAAAACTAACAAGACATACCATCCTAGGCTAGCACAGTGATGCTTTCCTCTAGTCCCAGAAGTTTGGAAGAGGAGGAAGAAAGATTCCTGTAGCCTGGAAGCATCCAATCTGGGCAACACAGAGAGACTGCAACCAAAAAAAAAAAAAAAAAAAAAAAAAAAAAAAAAAAAAAAAAAAGAGCCACCATTAGTTTTGTCCGGAATGAAAGCAGCCTCCTAACTAGTCTCTATACAGTTCACAGATGGATCCTGCTAGGGTGCAAGCCAGTGCCAGTCCTCTGCTTAGAATGCCACAGAGACTGTGTTACTCAGTGAACAGCCATGTTCCTCCCCAGGTCCTCCTTGCTCCAGACCAGCCTTACTCTGCTCTTTGCAGCTCCTTGAACAATAAGCACAATCTGTTCTCTAGGTCTTTGCACATGTGGTGGTCTGCCTGGAACATTCCTCCCCAAACACAAGGGCTTCCTCCTTCATTCAGACTGGATTTGTGCTCCAATTTGCCCTGCCCAGGGACAGCTTCTCTGAATACTTAGCATATATGGCACAGCCCAGCTCTCCTGCACATTTCAGCTTCCTTCTTCCTGACATCACTTACCATGATCGAGTACAGCACACATCTGACTCACCTGTCTGATGTCTATTTACTGTTGCAATGTGGGCTGTAACGGGGAGGGCTTGGTTGCATTGTTCACTGCAGTATCCCCAGTATTGAGAGTAAGCGTGTTTGATTTGGGTCAAGTTCCCCAAAGGCATGCTCAAAAAGAGATTTAACTTGTCTCTTTGCATCACTGGCAAGGAAACCCCTGTTCATTCTGGTCGCATTGCCCTTGGTGGCTGTAAAGTGACCACTTAACGGTCTGCAGTGAAAGTCTTTCCCTGGGTGTGGCCATGACTATGATGCTGGCAGCAGTGATGATGGAAATTGTTTAGGTAGAGCAACAGTAGAAGCCAGAGAGCAGCAGATCCTCAAATCCCCAAGGCAGAGAGCTCTCTGTCTCTGGGGATGACATCTCATCCTGGGGCCAGATGCCACATAACCTCCTGATTTTTTTGTTTACTTTTACAACCTAGAGTTTGTGCATCGCTAAAGCAAGAAGCATTGTATTTGAGAATGTGATGACAGTCCTGATGTGCAGAGAGAACTCTAGGAAATTTCCTACCACATTTCATAGAAGGAACTGAAATTTACTTCCCCAATCCCAAGGCTTAGAGCATTCTAGACTGTTCCTTGTCTCTTGACTGGCACTCCCTCTGCACTCCACTGCCCAGCTAGTTTCTGGAGACACCAACTGTAATTCCAGTCACTTTACTGCCCCAAATGTCTAGTCTGTGCACACGAGGCTGAAGCCCCAACTCTCTTGCCTGATATTTGAGCTTCCTGGCACTTTGGGCTACTTATTTCCATCCTGTTGGCTTCTCAACTCCCCAGGCCTTTTGTGTCATCTAACTTAGTCATCCAACAGGTTCTGAGCTCCCAGAGTCAATGACAGATGGCCACTCCCACTTCCTCCTGCTATACAAACCTGCCCATCTATTACCCAGTACCCTGCTTGCCCCGAAGTCTTCCATGTTTTGCACATCCCCATAGCACTCTCTCTCTCTCTGCGCACAGATTATGTTATTCTTTGCCTCTTCCTGTCACCAGCCCTGGCAGACCCAGGGAAAGCCTGAGCGGGGAAGCCGGGTTGGGCTTTAAGGCCCCTCAGCAGCACTGCTTCACACCAGCTGCATCTCTGGAGCCTCTGACCTGTCGGCACTCTAGCCTACTCATTCCATCTGTTCTTTGTGTCATGGTTGACACCCTGCCCTTGGTTTTGCCTCTGAGTCCCTCTCCTTTTAGCAGAGTTCAGTTTTTTATAGTGAGCATTGGCTTGGAACACTGTCTGCCTGTGCACGGAAACATTTTTATTTCCCCCTCCTTCCTTTTTTTTTTTTTTGTTTTGTTTTTCTGTGTAACAATAACTCTTTCTGCCAGCTGCCTGAGTTCCACTGCCACGTTATAGCCCCCAAATAACACACAGAGATTAATATTAGTTACAATGCTGCTTGCCAATGACTAGGATTTCTTATTTGCTAGCTCTGTCTTAAGTGTCAACCATAACCATTAATCTATATATTTTATAAAGACTTATCAAGGATGCCAGCGGCATGCGTCCTCTCTTCTTGGGATCACATGGTGACTCTCCTCTTTACTACATTTCCCAGAATCCTCCTCGACTCCTAGCCCTTCCTATCTTGCTTCCATATTAGCCAACAGTGCTTTATTTATCAACCAATAAGACAAACATATATACAGAAGGACTTCCCCCATCAGTTTTGTGTAGCCCTGGCTGTCCCCACAACTTGATCAGGCTGGCCTTGAACTCAGAGATCTGCCAACCTCTGTCTCCTGAGTGCTAGGATTAAAGGTATGTACCACCACTGCCCAGCTATTTTCTATTTTTTATACATTGCAAACTTAAGTCCAACTGTCTAGAGCAGTTACAGTTTCATGGTCTGCATTTTCTTTTTCTTTAGATGGTTAGTGATTAGGTAATATGATTAAGTCAATAACTTAGAAGCTGCTTGTATTAGGGTTCTCTAAAGGAACAGAACTTATAGAACAAATAAGTGTATATGTATGTATGTATGTATGTACATATGTATGTATGTATGTATGTATGTATGTATGTATGTATCTATCTATCTATCTATCTATCTATCTAAAGGGCTTTATTAGAATAGAATGACTTACAGGCTGTGACCCAGCTAGTCTAACAATGGCTGTCTATCAACCGAAGGCTCAAGAATCCAGTAGTTGCCCAGCCCACAAGGCTGGATATCTCAGTTGGTCTTCAGTATATGCTGGAATCACCAAGAATTAGGCTCTAATGCCAGTGACAGAATTGACCTGCCAATGAGAGTGATGGCAAGCAGGCAAAGAGAGAGAACTTCCTTCTTTCATGTCTTTTATATGGGCTGCCAGCCGAAGGTAGGGTCTAGAGTAAATCAAATAATTTAATTTAGCAAAAAACATGCCTCACAGATTTTCCCAGCCACTTTTTAAAAAGCTAATTCCAGATATAGTCAACTTGATAACCAAGAATAGCCATTATATCACTTTTGCTAAAAAGCATAGACTCCTCATCGGAGTCCACAAGGTAAATGAAAGCCTGACATCTGTCCCTATTCTATACCTGTTGACTTTACATTCACTCAAACCTCTGTTTGATTGATCTACCAAACCTACCTCCAACACCCTCCAGGTTGAAGATACAGAGACAAGTTGTTGACCTAAATCTGCATTCACTTTGGGTTCCAGGAAGAACAGAAGTCTCAGGTGAGAGCACTTATCCATGGGGGTGAGGCCAGACACCGGAGCAGAAACAACATCCCTACCAGCCAGGTTGTCCCTTTAATCAGCAAGGACTTCTGCAGACCTCTTGAAGACCCAAAGCTGACAATGATCAACAGCACACGTAGCCCAGGACTGATTATGTAAAAATCTCTTCTTGCCCCAACTCTTTCTCTACTAAAAAGCAATGCTCATGCCAGTCCCCTGAAGGTAGATCTGGGGGAACTATACCTCTTTGTCTATTCCTCTTACCAATGAGGCATAATCAATCAATCAATCAATCAATCAATCAATCTTTGTGTGTGTGTGTGTGTGTGTGTGTGTGTGTGTGTGTGTGTGTGGGCGTGCGCGCGCGCGCGCGCGTGCGTGCGTGCGTCTGTCTGTCTGTCTCTTTTCTACATTACCAGTGCCTTTAAATGGCATATTAGGGGCTGCTGGTGGAGCCTGGCTAGGGGTTGTCAGAGCCCCGGTTTTTTCCCTGAAAGTTCCAATAACACCAGTATTACACATTCATTTCTGTTACAGTCGACTAGAGGAGATTCAGATGAGCACATACCAGTAGCTCTGACGAACACAGGTTCTGCTAACTAGATGCTCACCACCTCAAGATGGGACCTACTCCAGTGGATGGCAGTTAATGTAGAAGTTTTCTTTCACTTGGACCTGAAGCTGTGTTCATCTGGTTCTCACCGGTTTCAGTTTCACTTTCTGGAACCAAACTGAATAAGTCCAGTACTGCTCCCATCTAAACACACTTCCGAGATCTGAGAATGATGTTTGACTGAAAGACCCCTGCCTGAGCTTTTTCTTTTATGTTTTCTTTCTGCTCTGGTCGGCAGCTGGCGGGGCGTGCGCGCGAATACATCCTCCCCTCCCCTGCACTCCCCGACCCTTGATCCCCACAGCTGCCGGCTCCCACTTCCCCGCCCCCGCGCAAGGCCGCCCCCGCCGGATCGCTCCATCCCAAGGTCAGCCATCTGGACGCGGCAGAAGATAAAGGCCGTTTCGCCTGACTACTACTGTGCCTTTTTCCCCTATAAAAGGACCCCCCTTCCGGGGCTCGGGGCTTGGCCTAACAGAAGCTAAGCCCCCGGGTACGTGCGCCACCAATAAAGCCTCTTGCTTTTTGCATCCAAAGTTCGTGGTTTTGCTGATTCCTGGGTGCGGGTCTCCTTCTACGAAAGTACCTCTTCGAGGGTCTTTCATGACTGTTACTAAAACTCTGCCTAGCAGCTCCAAGAACTATGGCTTTCAACTGAAAAACCCGTGAGGACAGACGGCCAAACATTCACACACAAGTGAGAGAGCCAGGGTTAAAGAGATGTTGTGGCATCTGGTCATTATCTTTTATTGAAAGAAGAAAACAAGGGCCTGGAGATGTGGCTTCATGGTTAAGAACAGATACTGTTCTTGCTGAGGACCTACGTTCAGTTCAAGCGCCTAAGCTCGGTGGCTCACAAGCCCTCTTTGGCCTCTGCGGGAATCTGGGCACAAGTGGTACATACATGCATTCAGGCGTGCACGCGCGCGCGCACGCACACACACACACACACACACACACACACACACACACACACACACACACACACCTTAAAATACAATAAAAAAGGTGCAAGCCTTTAATCCCCGCATAGAAAGCTGAGATACGTCTCTGTGAGTCTTGGGTTAACAAGAAAGAAAAAGAAAGAGAGATAGATACAAAGAAAGGAAGGAAGGAAGGAAGGAAGGAAGGAAGGAAGGAAGGAAGGGAGATATATTCAAGGAGTCTTGACAAAGGCAAAAACCACAGCTAATCTACAATTCCTAGACAACTGAGAGGCTGTAAAATCAATTAATTCAAAACGTCTTCCATACAGCGCGTTAAATTGGTCACCAGAGGCAGTCTAGATATAATGGCATCTTTGGTTACAACCTGCTAAGAGTTTGCCTTTAAAGAGCTCTTTCCTCTCCTCATGAGAAGGCTCCCAGCACCTCAACACCACATTTTTAATTAATGCGCAGGGTCTCAGCGAGCTAGGCAGGTGGCCAGTTGCATTATCCCACTTTTAAAAGAGGCCAAGTGACTTTTCATATCACGGCAATTAAAACCTTCTGAGACTGCTATTTGTAAGTTCATGCCTTCTTAAAAGCTTTTCAGGGGTTTCAAGAACCCAATTCATTTACTGACTGGTTTGACACTCTCAGTAAGAAGAGTAAAAATTCAACAGATGAGGCAGTTTTGTCCTCATTGTGGTTATTTTTGAGGGTAGAATAATTTGATTAAAAAGTTAATTTACTCCCAGAAACAGGATTTATTTATTCACATACTTGTTGGCTTCCTATTGTGGCTGAGTATTATGACCTATATAACGAGGTGAGGGCTAGAGGAAGATAGGGCCATTTCTGGCACGGGTGATGTTGGAAGCATCTCGTATAGCCTGGCAGAAGACAGAAAGACAAGAAGGTGTCCTTTTCCTGTGTGGGGCATCCTGCTGGGTTCCCTGTTCTTTCTGTCCTGCCTCTTGCTCTGTCCCTAGCTTTTCTCCAGATGCTGGCACAACCCCCACCCTCACCTCTCCACATCTTGTTACTTTTTGTGAGCTTATGATTATTTCAAAACAAACCTTTGAAAAGTGCATTGTTATTTGTGCAACTGGTAAGGCAATGTCCGAATCATCACCCCTATACTGTATGGGGTTGGAAAGTTCCAGAGGCAGGAAGAAAAGGGGGAGAACACCAGAGGTTGAAGCTGAGCCTAAGCACCCTGCAGAGCTGGGAGCAGGTAGGGATGTGAGGGAGAAGTCTGGGGAAGGATCTACTGAACTCAGTGTAATAGGCATTTGGAGGGCAGACAAGGCAGGAGGGAAAGGGAGGATTGGAAGAAAGGCACAGTAAGTGAAGACACGAGAAATGGTCTCCTGTCTTGGGCCCCCTGTTGACATGTCTGTGTTTACATGTGGTATGATATATGGTGTTTTGGCCCCAACTGAAAGGTGCTGGGGGAGAGGCAAAATGACAATGACAGAGTCTGATGGGGCCTGAATTCTAGTTCATAGACAGGGCTTCTAAAACAGCCCTCAAGCAATCAAAGGGCTGCTTTGCACAAGGCAGGGCTGTTGAGACCAGACTACGCCCTATTCTAAGCTACTCTAATTGTTTTTCCAGGCTGTGCCTTGCCCTAGGAGACTCCATTTTACAGTCAGTTTTTGGCTCCACTTGGAGGAAAAGAATGACTGTAGCCTTGGGGTGAACCCAGAAACTGCACTATCCATGGAGAACATATACTTACTCCGGTGAATAGAAAAGGAGCCACCCTAAAAATGCACTGGGGTGATTGAAACGATAGGGGCACATGGTTATATTAAGATCATATCAGAGGACCCAGGCCTGGCCATGGAAAGAATGAACTCACTCATTTGGATCCCACAGAGTGACAGACACTTAACATGCCAACCAATCATCGGTGTGTGCGTCAAGGATCCTAACCCCAACCATCCTTGGAGCTTTGATTTCCCTACTGTTGATGTGGCCCCCTGACTCTCGTCCAGTCCATCTGTTCACCTGTCTGGATCTGCACCCCTGTCTCTCGCTCCAGACCCATTTCCTGCTCTCTGACCCCAGCAGCTCCCTCCAGGCACTGGTTTTGCCTGTTGTCTTATCAATACAGATTATCAACTCCTCAAACCTCCTGGACCCTGCTACATCTTTAACTTGTGTTCATTCTATATAATGCATACAGATATTGTTACTGTGTGCTGTGTGGTATGACTTAAAGCATTAATTAAGGCTTGAATGAAGAAAAATGGAGAGATGGCTTAGTGGTTCAGAGTACTAGCTGAGGATCCTGGGTTCAGTTCCCAGCACCCACGTGGTGGCTCACAACCATCTGTAACTCTAGTTTCAGGAGATCTGATGTCCTCTTCTGGCCTTTCCAGGCACCAGGCACACATGTAGTATATATACATACACACATGTAGGCAAACACTCATACACAAAAGTCAAAATAAATACATCTTTTGAAAAACTGGAATAAAATAATCATTTGTCTCAGCCATGTTACCAAGATAAGAGAGATTATATGAAAAATGGATGCTATTGAAACTGATAAGCCTTGTGAATTTATTATTAATCAATAAGTTCTGGCATTGTGGAAAGACACAGATGTGCTCCTCTCTGTTCCAGGCATAGTGTGTGCTCACAACGGGCCTTTTGGATAAGGGCATTGATGTTCTCCTTGAAGGCTCTGCTGTGTGGTCTGACCACTCCCCCTGCTATGTGAAATGGTGACATGTATCTGTAAAAATAATTTGCCAAGGGAATAATAATGCAGAACTTGTTGAAAGACACAGCAAAGAGGCAGTTGGTGAGTTTCCAGAAAGGGGGGGTCACTCAGTTAAGAGAGATGGGAGCTCTCTTTGTAAGACTTGAGGAAGGTAGTTGTTTTTATCTCACTGACCATTTGTTCTGACCTCACATTTGGGTAGAGAGACAATCAGCTTCCTGTTGTTTTAAGTAGTAACAAGAAGAGCTGATGCCAATACCCCCGAAATCCTTCCATAAAATAGCCCGGAAAGGAACAACACCAAACTCATTCTACAAAGCCAATATTATCCTAACACTGCAACCAGGTCAGGTCCAAACAAATAAACAAACAAAAAACTACAGACCAATTCCCTGAGGATGAGAGATTATTATTTTTTCAACAAAATACTTACAAACTAAATTCAAGAACCCATGGAGAGGATCATGCACCGTGATCAGCTTAGTTTCAACCTGGGGAGGCCAAGTTGGTTCGATGTAACACAAAAGTGTAACAGAACACTTAAATAGAGTTGAGGACACAAACCAAATGATCATATCTATAGACAAAGGAAAGATTTTTTGACAAAGTTTTACATCTCTTCCTCATCAAAGCCCTGAAGAAACTAGAAATTAGAGTTTGTAGGGCTTTGGCCCCAGAAATGTAGTTGGATGAAAACTATTTAGCATCTTATATTATGATTAGCCAGGGATCCCTGGGATTTGCAACCATCCATCCCTCTGGAGAGTCTGTGAAGCCCTTATAAATAAGTACAAATAATTTTTATTACATGAATGACTGTTTGCATGTGTATCTGTGTACCACATGCATACAGTGCCTTCAGAGGCCAGAAAATGGCATCAGATCCCCTGACTGCAGTCACTGATACTTGTGAGCCACCAAATGGGTACTGTAGTGGGAACCAAACCTGGGTCTTCTGGAAGAACAGTCAATGTTCTTAATCACTGAGCTGTCTCTTCAGCTGAAGCTCCAGTCTAACATCTGCTAAGTTTCCTGAGAGACAGACTGGATGTGGGAGAGTGGGATGAGGAACTAAGGCAGCCAAGAGCAGGAGCAGTGTGGCTTGCTTAGCCTATCGTCCTCCATGGTTGTTCCCCTGAGAAATACTGGGGTGGTCTTTTTGATGGGCCTTGAAATATATAATGGCTACCTTGGTTGGAAGCCAGATAGCTTCTGGTAGGACCCAAATCTCAGGGTCACGTTTGTTTTATTTTTTATTTTTTTTTGTTTTGAGGCAGAGTTTCACTATGTAGTTCTAGCTGTCCTAGAACTCACTGTGTAGATCAAGCTGGCCTTGAACACAGAGCCCCCCCTGCCTCTGCCTCCCAAGTGCTGGGATTAAATGTGGGTGCCACTCACTATGTCTGGCTCAGGGTTGTGTTTCATTAGGGGTATTATCACAGTGAGGAGCCCCTTCCCACCTGCATGGACATTGGTCCCAAGGAAAGCATAGGCTGCACGTGTACACATGGTAAGTCTCATCCCTACCCCTAAGCTGCAGATCCCTGGTGT